ATAGTAAGGTTGGAGCTGCACACAGTTTCCGTGAAAGTATACAGATAGTAAGGTTGGAGCTGCACACAGTTTCCGTGAAAGTATACATAGATAGTAAGGTTGGACTTGCGCAGTTTGCGACTGGCACCGTCAGTATAATGTAGAGCTATGCAATCATGAGAACGCCTTGCAGGAACCTTCTGTCTTGGTGTATTTTTGTTGTTGCAATTGTGACTCTCAGTTTCATCATGGTGGGGGATGCTCTGGTGTGCTAAGCTCTTTTTACTTTTTAAATGTTTCTTATGATTATGGGAGTGTGTGTGTGTGTGTGTTAATGTGTGTGTGTGTGTGTGTGCATGCGAGAGAGAGAGAGAGAGAGAGAGAGAGCATGTGTGTGGGATAAAACGCCAAAGCAATGTGCTAGCACCTGGACAATAAAGATTTATCTACTTTCATCGGGGAATCTTAAACTTTGTGTTTTGCATGTATCTGATCATGTGTTTCACTCTCTGACTTTCTCCTACAGAATGAGGATTTTGGTGTTTGCTATGTTGTTGTTGTTGTTGTTCACATTGACGATGACTGACTTGTTGACACACGGACACACATGACACATCCGTAAATCATTACGGTGACCTAGGTGTCAGGATCACTGACTGTGTCGTCATTTGTACACAAAGAGCAGATTGGGAAACGTGTCAAGATTTTCATTGGCTGTGAGGCTTGCTTGCGACACGTCCGTTATGTGGGTGGTTGGAGGCCGCTGCTAGGAGGTCCTACATGTACTTCTTTTCGTTCAATCTGTTGCTTCTGTCTTATAATGATACATCTGTCTTGCTTCTTCCGTGCTCTCTATGTGACCGTTGTTCTGTTTATGTGTTTCTTTTTACTCAAAACAAGCTTACAAAGAAACCATGTCCGTTTTTGAAGATACTTCAAATCACTTGCCACCACATCGGCAAATATATGCAAGAAACCGTTAGTTCATTCATGTCGTAGAAAAGACAGAAGGTACAAGTGGAAGATACAACTCTCTTGCTTTGGTA